AGTTTGTAGTTTGCTTATTCAAACTGATCCAAAACTAGACAGCAGGTGACTCCTTTTCCACAACAAACATAAAATAACGGTTAATATGTTGACCTTTCAACATGACAAGTAAAAGTTTGGTTGTACTGACCGTTCACTTGCACTTGAGTCTAGAGTCTAGCCCAGAATGAAAGGTCACTGTAAATCAATACAAAGTTATTCTAAGTGATCATCTTTAGTGGCCAATGGGAGTCGTCTTGCCAAGGATGACAAGGTCATCATTGAAAAGTTTAAATGTAAAAATGATGCAACAGGACATTTTGAAACAATATGTTAGGCAGCATTCTCCAGGATGGCTTCACACATTAGACTTTAAGAGTTTATATATGAAATATGAACATAAATCATTTGGTTGTCATCTACAAAAGATTCCCAGAAACCCAAAATTTCATCAGATTTTCTGCAGGTGACACATGTCTGTATCTTTCTCATCTTTAATGAAAAAGAGATTTTGTAAATTCCCATTTATTGGAAGACTGTTAAAAACAAACAAACAAAAACAGCAAAAACTCGTGAACAACATTAGAACAAACCTACAGTTTGCCCGTGAACATACAGCTAAACAGCACAAAGATGGAGCTGTTTGACCAGAGAAACAATAAATGTGTTTGATCCAGACTTTGGGCATAATTCATGGCCTTGTTGACTGAGCAGCTCGGATCTTTTGTTTCAACTATGAATTTATGCATTATAAAATGTACTTAATGATGTCATAAGATCTGTACAAAAGTCGAAGTTGAACTAGAAATTGATCTTTCACAGCAGCAAACCTCGTTAAAACTAGATAAAAATAAATGAAAAAAATAGGACAAAACTTTCACAAACAGTTATAACATCTCATATTTGAGTAAACAGATAACTGAAAAAGCTGCTATCCTTTTCAGTTTTCGTTTGGAAGTGCTGATTGTCTCTTCATATCCCATTTGAATCATTTAACTTAAATATAGGTTACAGGAAAAGTGCACATGCAGTTAGAGTATCAGCTCACAACAACACAAAAGTACTCTGTTGCTGTTGTGGTGAGTCGTTGATGGTTCGCTTTGATTGACACGAACAGCTCTGCAAACTGAGCAGTGACCTGATTGGCTGTTGTGAGGGTGATGAGAAAAGCACAGTGGAGCAGGCACAACTTCAGGACAACGTTTACTTGCTGAAAACCTGCAGCACGTAATTCAGTATGATTTCATCACGACGCAAGAAAAACACAGAAATGTTTAAACAATGCTGAGCTGGTACCAAAGTATATATAAAGTGGTGAGCTATAGAGAAATGTAACAAGAACTTGCCGTGTAGCGAATGATAGAATGTCAAGAGTGTGTTTGAAATACTGGATGAAAATTGCACAAAACAGTGTTACATTTACACTGTTTTGTATCACTGTTACATTACAGTGTTACAATGTTAGTATTTTGATTCTAACTCTTGTTTCTTACTTGCAGAACGTTCAGTAAAATGTTGGAC